CTAACAACGAAGTAGCAGAAAGAGAAATTAAAGAATAGAATCCCATTTACAATTGCAACAAAAAGAATAAAATACCTAGGAATAAATTTAACCAAAGTGGTAAAAGACCTGGACACTAAAAGTACAAAACATTCTTGAAGGAAATTGAAGAAGGCACAAAAAAATGGATAGCTATTCCATGCTCAGGGATTGGAAGAATTAATATAGTTAAAATGTCTATACTTCCTAAAGCAATCTAAAGATTGAATGCAATCTCTATCAACGTTCCAATGACATCCTTCACAGAAATAGGACAAGAAATCCTAAAATTTATATGGAATAACTAAAGACCCAGAATAGCAAAAGGAATCCTGAAAAAAAGGAACAAAGCTGGAGGTATCACATTCCATGATTTCAAAATATACTACAAAGCTATAGGAATCAAAAAGCATTGTACTGGCAGAAAAACAGACACAGAGATAAATGGAACAGAGTCAAGAGGCCAAAGATAAACCCACACACCTATACACAGATAATTTTCGACAAAGAAGCCAAGAATATACAATGGAGAAAAGAAAATCCCCTCAATAAATGGTGTTTGGAAAACTGGACAGCCACATGCAAAAGAATGAAAGTAGACCATTACCTTACACCATACACAAAAATTAACTCAAAATGGGTTAACGTCTTAAATGTAAGACTTGAAACCATAAAACTTCTAGAAGAAAGCAGAGGCAGTACACTCTTCAACATTGGACTTAGCAGCATATTTTCAAATGCCATGTCTGACCAGACAAGGGAAACAAAAAGAAAAATAAATGGGACTACATCAAACTAAAAAGCTTCTGCATAGGAAAGGAAACCATCAACAAAGTGAAAAGACAACCCACCAACTGGGAGAAAATATTTGCAAACTGTATATCTGATAAGGGGTTAATATCCAAAATACATAAAGAACACATGCATCTCAATAACAAAAAAACAAACAACCCAATTTAAAAATGGGCAAAAGATCTGAACAGACATTTTTCCAAAGATATGCAGATGGCCAATAGGCACATGAAAATATGTTCAACATCACTAATTACTAGGGAAATGCAAATCAAACTACAATGACATATCACCTCACACCTGTCAGAATGGTTATAATTAACAAGACAATAAATAACAAGAGTTGGACAGGATGTGGAGCAAAGGGAACTGTCATACACTGATGGCAGGAATGCAAACTGGTGCAGCCACTATGGAAAACAGTATGGAGATTCCTCAAAAAATTAATAATAAAGAAGACACAAATAAATGGAAAAAGATTCCATGCTCGTGGGTTGGAAGAATCAACATAGTTAAAATGTCCATACTACCTAAAGCAATCTACAGATTCAACACAATCCCAATTAGAATCCCAATGACATTCTTCGTGGAAATTGAACAAAGAATCCTAAAGTTAATATGGAAGAACAAAAGACCCCAAATAGCCAAAGCAATTCTGAGAAAAAAGAACAAAGCTAGAAGCATCACAAGCCCTGAATTCAAAATATAGTACAAAGGTACAGTAATCAAAATAGCATGGTACTGGCAAGAAAACAGACACACAGATCAATGGAACAGAATTGAAAGCCCAGAAATAAAACCACACTTCTATGGACAGTTAATCTTTGACAAAGGAGCCAAGAATATATAATGGAGAAAGGAAAGTCTCTTCAATAAATGGTGCTGGGAAGGGGCCAGCCCAGTGGTGCAGCAGTTAAGTTCACACGCTCCACTGTGGTGGCCTAGGGTTCACAGGTTCTGATCCCAGGTGTGTACCAATGCACCACTTGTCAAGCCACACTGTGGTGGCATCCTATATAAAGTACAAGAATATAAAGTAGAGGAAGATGGGCACGGATGTTAGCCTAGGGCCAATCTTCCTCAGCAAAAAGAGGAGGATTGGCAACAGATGTTAGCCTAGGGCAATAAATGAATGAATGAATGAATGAACAAATGAATGAACAAATGAACAAATTAATAGATAGATAGATAGATAGATAGATAGATAGATAGATAGATAGATAGATAGATAAATGGGTTTTACTTAAAAAGAATAAATGTGTTGGGAAAACTGGACAGCCACATGCAAAAGAATGAAAGTAGACCACTATCTTACACCATACACAAAAATTAAGTCAAAATGGATTAAAGAATGTAAGACCTGAAACTATCAAACTCCTAGAAGAAAATATAGGCAGTACATTATTTGACATTGATCTTAGCAGCATGTTTTCAAATAACATGTCTGACTGGGTAAGGGAAGCAAAAGACAAAGTTAACAAATGGGACTACATCAGACTAAAAAGGTTCTGCAAGGCCAAGGAAACCATGAACAACATGAAAAGACAACCCACCAACTGGGAGAAAATATTTGCAAATCACCTATCTGATAAGGGGTTGATCTTCAAAATACATAAAGAACACATTCAACTCAACAACAAAAAGAGAAAAACCCAATCAAAAAATGGGCAGAAGATAGGAACAGATGTTTTTCCTAAGAAGATATACAGATGGCCAACAGGCACATGAAAAGATGTTCAATATCACTAATTATTAGGGAAATGCAAATCAAAACTACAATGAGATATCATATTATACCAGTCAGAATGGCTATAATTACCAAGAGAAAAAACAACAAATGTCGGAAAGGATGTGGAGAAAAGGGAACGCTCATGCACTCCAGGTGGGAATGCAAACTGGTGCAGCCACTATGGAAAACAGTATGGACATTTCTCAAAAAATTAAAAATAGGAATACCATACCATCCAGCTATCCCACTACTGGGCATTTATCCAAAGAACTTGAAATCAATGATCCAAAGAGATCTATGCACCCCTATGTTCACAATAGCCAAGACGTGGAAGCAACCCAAGTGCTCATCAACTGATGGTTGGATAAAGATGTGACATATATATGCAATGCCATACTACTTAGCCATAAAAAAAAAAGACAAAATTGTCCCATGTGCAACAACACAGATGGACCTTGAGGGTATGATGCTAACTGAAATAAGCCAGACAGAGAAAGGCAAATACTGCATGATTTCACTCATATATGGAATATAACAAATACATGGATAAAGAGAATAGATTAGTGATTACCAGAGGGGAAGAGGGGTGGCAGGTGGGTGAAAGGGGTAAAGGGACACATATGTGTGGTGATGGACAATAATTAGACTACTTGGGATGACCATGATGAAGTCTACTCAGAAAACGATAAACAATAATGTACACCCGAATTTTCACAATGTTATAAACCATTATTATCTCAATAATGTTACTAGGGAAAAAAATTAAGAAAAGAACTACCATATGATCCAGCTATTCCTCTACTGGGCATTTATCCAAAGAACACGAAAACACAAAGGCATAAAGATATATGCACCACTATGTTCACTGCAGCATTCCTCACAATAGCCAAGATTTGGAAACAATCCAAGTACCCATCAAGGGATGGATAGATAAAAAAGATGTGGTATACATTCACAATGGACTACTACTCAGCTATAATAAAGAATGAAATCTTGCCACTTGCGACAACATGGATGGATCATGAGTGTATTATGCTAAGTGAAATAAGCCAGATGGAGAAAGTGAAATACCATATGATCTCACTCATAAATAGAAGATAAAAACAACAACAGTAACAAACAAACACATAGATACAGAGATTAGATTGGTGGTTACCAGAGAGGAAGGAGGGGAGGAGGGTGAAAGGGGTGACTGGGCACATGTCTGTGGTGATGTATGGTAATTAGTCTTTGGGTGGTGAACATGATGTAGTCTACACAGAAATTGAAATATAATGATGTACACCTGAAATTTATATAATGTTAGTAAGCAACTTTACCTTGATTAAAAAAATGAAATTTTTTAAAAAGACAAACTAAAAAAAGAAAAGAATCAGAAAACTGCAATGGTATATCAGAATAGGTTACTAAACACTTTATTATAACATAAAAGCTAAAGGGAAGGAAAGCATCAAAAATAACTATAACTACTTGAACTTGGTAAAAAACTCACAATACAAAATGGAATAATTTGTGACAACAAACACATAGATGGAGAAGAGGAAAAGGATGGACTCTGCAAAAGCAAATGAAGATAAGATGCTATCAGCAGAAAAAGGACTATCTCATCTATGAGATCTTTTATACGACCTCATGGTCATCACAAAACAAAAAAGAAAAGAGAGCACAGTCACAAACATTAAAAAAGAGGAAAGTGAGAAATGCATCACAGAAAGCATCAAACTGATATGACAGAAACACAAGAAAAAAGAAACAATGGAAATACAGAACAACTGGAAAACAAAAGGAAAAATGGCAGTATTAAGCCCTCATACATAAAAAGAAATCACTCTAAATGTAAATGGATTGAATTCACCAATCAAAAGGCACAGAGTGGTTGGATGGATTAAAAAACAAGACCCAACAATATGCTGCTTCCAAAAGACCCATCTCAGCTCCAAAGAGAAACATAGGCTCTGAAAGAACAGATGAAAGATGATTGTCTAAGCAAATGGCAACTGAAATACGGTACAGCTATACTTATATCAGATAGAATAGACTTCAAGTCAAAAAGATACAAGAGACAAAGGTGGACATTATATAATGGTAAAAGAGACATTCCACCAAGAAGACATAACATTTATCAATACGTACATACCTAAGATAGGAGCACCAAAGAACTATTGACAGACCCAATGGGAGAAATTGACAGCAATACAAATAGTAGGGGAATTTAACATCCCACTAACATCGATGAATAGATCATCCAGACAGTCAAGAAGGAAACACTGGCCTTAAATGAAACACTAGACCTGATGGACTTAATAGATATATATAGAACACTCTATCCAAAAGAGTAGAATACATATTCTTCTCAAGTGCACACAGAAGATTCTCAAAGATAAACTATATGTTGGGAAACAAAACAAGCCTCAATAAATTTAAGATTTAAATCATATCAATCATCTTTTTCAAACACAATTCTATGAAACTAGAAATCAACTACAAGAAGAAAGCTGGAAAAGTCACAAATAAGTGGAGACTAAAGAACATGCTACTGGACAACTATTGGATCAATGAAGTAATCAAAAAATACCTGGGGACAGGGGTCCAGCCCGGTGGCACAAGCAGTTAAGTGTGTGCGCTCTGCTGCGGCGGCCTGGGGTTCGCCGGTTTGGATCCCGGGCGTGCACCAATGCACCGCTTGGCAGGCCATGCTTTGGCAGCATCCCACATAAAGTAGGGGAAGATGGGCATGGATGTTAGTACAGGGCCAGTCTTCCTCAGCAAAAAAGAGGAGGATTGGCATCGGATGTTAGCTCAGGGCTGTCTTCCTCACAAAAAAAAAAAAAAAAACCTGGGGACAAATGAAAATATGACATAACAAAATCTATGGGATGCAGCAAAAGCAGTATTAAAAGGGAAGTATATAGCAATAGAGGCCTACTTCAAGCAACATGAAAAATCTCACATAAACAGTCTAATACTATACATTAAAAAACTAGAAAAAGAAGAACAAAGCCCAAAGTCAGTAGGAGGAAGGAAATTAAAAAAAAAAATCAAAACTAAAAAGATATGAGAAAGGATAAATGAAACTAAGTGCTGGTTCTTTGAAAAGATAAACAAAATTGACAAACACTTAGCTAGACTCACTAAGACAAAACGAGAGAAGGCTCAACTAAATAAAATCAGAAGATCTTTTAAGAAGATCAATTGCAACAAATACCACAGAAATACAAAGGATTATAGGAGAATACTATGAAAAGCTACACACTGACAAGTTGGATAACCCAGAAGGCATGGATGAATTTTTAGAGAATCAGATAATCTCCCAAACTGAATCAAGAAGAAATAGAGAATCTGAATAGACCAATCACAGATAAAGAGATTGAAATAATAATCAAAAACCTCCGGAAAAAAACAGAAGTTCAGGACCAGATGGCTTCTCTGGTGAGTTCTATCAAATATTTAAAGAAGATTTGATAACTATCCTTCTCAAATTCTTCCAAAAAACAGAAGAGGATGGGACACTTCCTAACTCATTTTACAAGGCCAACACTACCATGATACCAAAACCAGACAAGGACAACACAAAAATGGAAAATTATAGGCCACTGTCACTAATGAACATAGATGTAAAAATCCTCAAAAAAATAATTAGGACATTGAATACCACATTACATTAAAAGGATCATAAACCACGATCAAGTGGGATTTATTCCAGGGATGCAGGGATGGTCCATGTTTCGCAAATCCACTAATGTGATATACCACATTAACAAAAAGATTAAAAATCACATGATCATCTCAATAGATGCAGAGAAAGCATGTCAGAAAATTCAACATCCCTCTATGATAAAAACTCTGAATAAAATGGGTATAGAAGGAAAATACTTCAACATAATAAGGGCCATATATGACAAATCCACAGCAAACATCATACCCAATGGTGAAAACTGAAAGCTATTCCTGTAAGAACAGAGAACAAAACAAGGATGTCCACTCTCACCACTCCTATTCAACATAGTATTGGAAGTCCTAGCCAGAGCAATTAGGCAAGAAAAAGAAACGAAAGGGATCCAAATAGGAAAGGAAGAAGTAAAACTGTGACTATATGCAGATGACACGATTCTATATATTAAAAACTCTAAAGAATCCACCAAAAAACTATTAGAAATAATTACCAGTAAATAACAGTAAACTATCAAGGTACAAAATCAACATACAAAAGTCAGTTGCACTTCTATAACTAACAACAAACTAAGAGAAAGAGAAATCAAGAATACAATCCCATTTACAACTGCAACAACAACAAAAAAATACCTAGAATTAATTTAACCAAAGAGGGGAAAGACCTATACACTGAACACTATAAGACATTATTGAAAGAAACTGAAGAAGACATAAAGAAACAGAAAAATATTCTGTGCTCATGGATTAGAAGAATAAACATAGTTAAAAGGTCTATATTACCAAAAGCAATTTACAGATTCAATGCAATCCCAATCAGAATCTCAATGAAATTTTTTATGTAAGTAGAACAAAGAATCCTAAAATGTATATGGAACAACTAAGGACCCCAAATAGCCAAAGATATCCTGAGGAAAAAAGACAAAGCTGGAGGTATCACAATCCTTGACTTCAAAATATACTACCAAGCTATAGTAATGAAAATAGCATGGTACTGGCACAAAAACAAACACACAGATCAATGGAACAGAGTCAAGAGCCCAAAAATAAACCCACACATCTACGGACAGCTAATTTGCGACAAAGGAGCCAAGAACATACAATGGAAAAAGGAAAGTCTCTTCAATAAATGGTGTTGGAAAAACCATTTTTGGACACCCGCATGCAAAAGAATGAAAGTAGACCCTCACCTTACACAATACACAAACATTAACTCAAAATGGCTTAAAGACTTGAATGTAAAACCTGAAACCATAACACTCCTAGAAGAGAACATAGGCAGTACACTATTTGACATCAGTGTTAAAAGTATCTTTTTGAATATCATGTCTCCTCAGGCAAGGGAAACAAAAGAAAAAATAAACAAATGGGACTACATCAGACTAAAAAGCTTATGCACAGCAAAGGAAACCATCAACGAAGTGAAAAGACAATCCAGCAATTGGGCAAAGATATTTACAAATTATATATCTTGTACAGGGTTAAAATCCAAAATATATAAAAAACTCACACAACTCAACAACAACAAAAAAACCCATGAAAAAATAGGCAGAGGATATGAAGAAACATTTTCCCAAAGAAGATATACAGATGGCTATCAGGCACATGAAAAGATGTTCAAATTCACTAATTATTAGAGAAATGCAAATTAAAATTACAATGAAGGGGGCCAGCCTGGTGGCCTAGTGGTTAAATGTGCATGCTCTGCTTCTGTGGCCTGGGGTTCACAAGTTCGGATCCCAGGCGCGCACTGTTGTGCTGCTTGTCAAGCCATGCTGTGGCGGCGTCACATATAAAGTAGAGGAAGATGGGCACGGATGTTACCCTAGAGCCAATCTTCCTCAGCAAAAAGAGGTGGATTGGCATAAGATGTTAGCTCAGGGCTGATCTTCCTCACACACACAAAAAAAACTATAATGAGATATCACCCACATCCATCAGAATGGCTACTATTGAAAAGACAAGAAATAAGTTGTTGGAGAGGATAAGCAGAAAAAGGAACCCTTATACGCCACTGGTAGGAATGTAAATTGGTGCAGCCGCTATGGAAAACAGTATGGAGATTTCCAAAAAGTTAAAAATAAAAATACCATATGATCCAGCTATCCTACTACTGGGTATTTATACAAAGAAGATGAAAACACTAATTTGAAAAGATACATTCACTTCTATGTTCATTGTAGCATTATTCACAATAGCCAAGACTTAGAAGCAACCTAAACGCCTATCAATGGATGAATAAAGATGTGTTATATACATACAATATACTCAGCCTTAAAAGAAAGATGAAATCATGCCATTTGCGACAATGTGAATGGACCGAGTGTATCATGCTAAATGAAGTCAGACAGAGAAAGACAAATACCATATGACTTCACTCATGTGTAGAAGATAAACACACAAACAAGCACATAGATAAGAACAGATTGGTGGTTACCAGTGGGGAAGGGGGTGGGGGCGGAGTGAAAGGGGTAAAAGGTCACATATGTATGGTGACAGATGGAAACTAGACTTTTGGTGGTGAACATGATGCAGTCTATACTGAAGTTAAAACTTGAAATTTATATGTTATAAACCAATATGACCTCAATAAAAAAGACAGAGTAGTAAGAATAATTATAACAGAAATGTGTTAATGGGAACACATTATAGAAAGAAAACCTGACATCAATTACATAAAATGAGTGGGGAGATTAAAGTGTACCATATCTGTATGTGATTGAAGTTGTTATCCACTTAAAACAGACTGCTATAGCTATAAAATATTTGATGCAAACTCCATGGTAACCACACACACAAAAAAGAAATACAGCAGATACACAAAAAACAAATAGAAAAGAATCAAAGCACTCCACCACACACACACAAAAAAATCATCAAACCACAAAGAAAGTCAGCCAGAGAAGAAGGGAGGAACAAGAGAACTACAAAGCAGACAGAAAACAATTTACAAAATGGCAAGAGTAAGTACTTACCTATCAATAATTACTTTAAATGTAAGTGGACTAAACTCCTTAATCCAAAGACACAGGGTAGCTAAATGGATTAAAAAGAAGAACCTACTATATGCCTTCTTCAATTGGATCTCTTGTGCACTGTTGGAAGGGATGTAAAATGATGCAGCTGCTATGGAAGACAGTATGAGGGTTCCTCAAAATAAATTAAAAATATGTACATCAAATCTGACATATGATCCAACAATCTCACTTCTGGCTATATACCCAAAAGAATGGAAAGCAGAATTTGGAAGAGATATTTGCACACCTGTGTTCATTGCAGCATTATTCACAATAGCCAAGAGATGGAAGCAATTCAAGTGTCCATCAACCGATGAATACATACAGTGGAAGATTATTCAGCCTTGAAACAGAAGGAAATCCTGTCAGATGCTACAATATGGGTGAAACTTCAAGACATGTTAAGTGAAATAAGCCTGTCACAAAAAAGACAAATTCTACTTATATGAAGTTTCTAAAGCAGTCAAACTCATAGAAATAGCAGAATAGTGATTGCCATGGCCTGAGGGAAGGGGGAAAATGAGGAGTTGTTTAATTGATATAGAGTTTTAGTTTTGCAAGGTGAGAAATTTCTAGAGATCTTTTGCACAACGTGAATACACACTACTGAACTATACACTTAATACTGGCGAAGATGGCAAATTTTATGTGTTTTACCAAAATTTTTTTTAAAAAAGACAATGAAGGCTTGTAGACAGTCATTTTCATGGTTTTGAAGAGGTTCAATGTTGTCCAGGCTTCTACAGTCTGGTATACTAAGTTTTTTCATTATGTCTAGTTTCTTAGCCACTAGAAAAAATACTTAAAAGGTGTCTTGACATGAGTACAGCCAGGTTTGTACAGTCCATGAACCTACAGCCACCAGCACACAAAGAAATATAAAGTGGCTTTCTGTGTGGTGGGAATCAGCCTTTCTCCCACAGAGATAGTTGCAATTTGTAAGATTGCAAGACTCCATGGGAGTCACAGCCGGGAATGGACTGGCCATCCATGCCGGGCTGGGACGATACCCAAGGGGCTCAATGCACGTACACAACTGATAATTTTTTGTGCATGGGAACACCAAATGTTTACTTTACAAATGCTTACTCTGGAACTTGCTCATGCTATATAAACTGCTGGAAACTGAAACCTGATAAGAGTCTCGCCTGTGGCGGGGACGTCTTGCCCAGGACCTCTGCCAATTGGCACTCCCGCCTAGCTGTGTTAACTCAAGGGACTCTCCCTGTGTAAGGGCGTGGATGTTATGAATACCCAATCTGACGTTTCTCTTTTCGGTCCATCTGATGTTATTTCCCTTCAGTCGGTCTGACATTTCCCTTTTCCATCAACCTGATGTTTTTCCCTGTTATTTGACCTATTTGAATCTGTTCTGTCTCAGTCGATCTGATGTTTCCCTTTTCGGTCGACCTGATGTTGTTTCCTCCTTTTATTTGACCTATTTGGATCTGTTTGCTGACTTTCGCCTTTACCCTTCCCTATATCATAAAATGTACATTCAGTCCATCCGTCTGGGTTGGAAAGTTTCTTTTCATGTCTCCGATCAAATCCACAGAACCTCTTACAACAAAAGGTCATCCAGAATAAGCAGGACAACTTTCATATTCTTTCCAGTTAAAAGATTCATGAATGGTTCTGTGGCATTAGAGTAGACAAGACAGACCATCTGTTCAAGTGTTTCCCCACCTGCAGGGTTAGTGACCACCCATAGTTTCATTTGGTACCTTAAAACCTTCCTTTGAGAATGTGCCAGCAAGGAATGTCATCTGGCCTTGACAGCCAGCTATGATACTTGACATTGCCTACACAGTCTTCTACTGAATGTTACTTTTGGCTTCAGTTAGTGGCCTGGGAAAGACTGCACATACTCCTACATCTATTTTTACAACCTGAAATTATACATCTGTCCCAGTGGCAGTACTTTCCTTAGCTCTTAAGAGAGGAGTCACAATTGGCCATTCTGTAAGCTTCTGGAAGCTTTACAGACTGTTTTTCACAACCACTTCAATGAATTCCTTTGGACCATCAGTAAGGTAAAAAATAGCTGGTAAGTATCTGCTAATATTTCTGGATCATGATGATGCAGGGGATGAAAACTGAAAAGTAGAAAGAATTTGTTCAACAAACTTCTTAGAACAAACATTTTAAAGTGACCCGGCTAGATTTCTAAAGATGGAAATGGTGCACCAAAAGTCTGAATATTTTTTTAATGTTCACTTGGAAAGTATTTCAGACCTACAAAAAGGTTCCAATAGTATGCATGGTTCCTTTTATTCATCTTCCCCAGAGGCTGACATCTTGCATAACCACAGAACAGTCGTCAAAGCCAGAAAATTAATATTCATAAAACAAAATTTATCTACAGACCTTATTCAGGTTTCATCAGTTTTCCCACTAATGTCCTTTTTCAAAAACTTTTTTGTGGAACCTGGGCCAGGATCACACATCGCATTTTGTCATACCTCCCTGGTTTCATCTAATCTTGGATAGTTTCTCATTATTATTGTCTCCCACAGCCTTAATACTTTCAAAGGGTATTAGCCAACTGTTTTATGGAATGTCCCTCAATTTGGGTTTGTCTCATGATTTTTCACAATTTGGAATTCAGGTTGCATATTCTGGGCAGGAATACCAGTGTGCCATACTTCGAGTAGGGATGAAACACATGTCTACAGGTCTCATTATTGGTGGTATTGATTACTTGGTTGAGGTGGTACCTGCCTGATTTATCCACTGAGGAGTTACTGTTTATTCCCTTTGTAATTAATGGGTATCTTGTGAGGAAGTGCTTTGCCCCACTAAGTTTAGCATCCACTGATACTTCTTGCCTGTAAAATTATTACTGCGGTATTTGCCAAAAGTATTTTATTTCCATCCTTCCTTCTACATTTATTAGTTAGCATTCTGCTGAAGGGAGGATCTGTCCCTCCTCTCCCTTTTACATATTTATATAACTATGGACTAAACATTTGCTTTATTCTGTGAGGTATGAACAATTTTTAAGATTCTGGATGGACCTTATCAAATGGTCAGAAAGGTTGCACAGATTTCCACTGCCTCAGGTACTGCATGAGTCGGCCACCCTTCTACAGCCACACCAACATTACTTAAGTACAAATAACAAATTCATTTTACTAAAAAAAGATATCTAGTAATTGCTTTTCTTGGCATTTTATTGCCACCAGAGCGGAGCCTCTTACCTATGTTCACTTTTCATTTGTTTTTCATCTTCCATCTTTTAATATAACACTGTCCATTTCACCCTTACCATCCATGTGTTTATGAGATCTTCAATAACTAAGGACATCACTACAAATGTAATAATTTGGAATGTACTTTCGCAAATTCTTTGCATTTTAACTTTAATAATGAATGTCAATTTTACAGTTTCATATAGTTAAATATATTGTTGTGGTCCTCTTTTATTTGTGCTGTTGTAGAAAGTTCTTTCCTAAATAAAGAGAAGATTTTCAACACGCTGTCTTAGATTTCTGATAGGTCCAAATTTTTACATGTATTTCTTTTACTTTTCAGGATTATATTCCACTAGGCTTTCCCACATAAAATTTTTTGTTTCAATACTTTCCCCCAAAGTTCAGGAATTTATAAAGATAGAGTTTAAATCAGTGGGGAAATATATATAATTTTTAATAAAAAATGCTGAGCACCCATTTGGAGAAAAAAACAGATCCTTACCTCACACTATTTATAAAAACGGATTCCACATGGATACATGGGTATTAAGAAAATATTTTTATCAAGAAAATACAAACTCTACAAATCTAGTTGTCTGGATAAACACAAGGCAGGTTATCTATCCCTGGACAATTTGCTAGCATTGGATTAAAGTGAAATAAATGATTAAGATATCCTTCATCATACTGACACAATATTTATATACTATTGCCTATATCTTAGATTATAATTGATAAAATACAACTGTAAAACCTTTTTACTGTTCATGAAAGTTTCTCTAAAGTTTCTGGTTACATTTCATTATCCTTACTAGGACTCAGCTATAACCCAAAGCAAGATTTTTATTTGAATAAAAAGGTGCCCATAAGTTGAAATAAATAACGGAATAAAACATAGATTTACAAATAGTTACCATTACTAATATAAATACTAACATATTAATTTGTCATAAAAGAAGACAATAAAAAGATAACTGTAATGGAGGTGGGGAGAAAATACAAAACCAAATCATCAGGGCTTCAGGTTTCTTTTTTCCAACACGAACAAAACTCCAGTGCTCCAACTACTATATGTAATTAGAACATCTCATTATAAACCAAACATCCACAGAGCTCACTCTGTCCATTGGGTATCACCGGATGTGGTACTCCCTGAAGCACTTGGCGTGGACGCCCTTCTGGCACTTCTCACAGCGGGTGTTGGTTTGTGAGTGGCAGAGGGCACACCGAGTCCTCTTGTCTTGGTGGATGATCCAGTGCCCAATCATGTCAAAGCGACTCTCGGTTTCCAGCCGCCTACTTCGCCTCCCTTGGGACGACGTGTCAGCATTGCTCTCCAGGTACACACAGGCCACATACCTCCGGAAGGCCAGAAGGTCCACCTGGGCATCGTGGCAGCAGATCCTGTGCAGCTGCCATGCGTTGTTAATGGCAGCGTCGATGACGTAGCCAATGAAGCTCGAGTACCACTTCATGCCGCGAATCTTCACCTTGTACTTCGCGATGTTCTGGTCCATCCGGCCAACACCCCCTACCTTCTCCTGGTATAGTCTCACCAGGGATGGCTGATGGACCTGGGTCCGCGTTTTGGCAGCTCCTGAGTGATGACTGGCCAGCCCCACCGGCTCTATGCCTACGGCATTGGAGCAGATGCTGACCACACTGCTATCATGCCAGCGGCACACAATGATCTCCTCTCTCTCGTCAACTTTGTAATCAAATGAACCCCTCTTCATTTTCTTCAGTTCTTTGGGATCTTTGAGGGGACACTGCTCAGTCCTGTACTCACAAACAGTTCCTGTGGCCTTCACCCCCTTTTTCCTCAAAATGGACATCAGTTTGACACTTGTAAAAACCTTGTCAAAAAATATGTGGTACGGCAGACAGCCGCGCTCCTGAAGCGCATCCACAAATTTTACCACCATACTGCCTCCTAGGTCCAGGCCCCTGTCTGGCTTAGTGAACAGCGTGCCCTGCGAGGGCTCGAACCACACCAAATATCCCCTGCTGGTCGTACCACACCAGATCTTATAGCCCAGGCGCAAAGCCTTCCCCACAGGCAGCTGCTTGGACCCCCGGTGTCCAAAGTACTCACACATGGACTCACCAAAGCTGTAGCACTCTTCCAAGGGTGCGTGCTTCTGGAAATTGCAGTTCATCCGGACAATGAGAGGCCTGACCTTGGCAAACCTATCACTTTCATCCAGCTTGTTGTTATCTGCAAAATGCAGGTATGAGAAGATCAGTTCAAACCTGTCCCTTCTAATTGCATCAGCCACAAGATGATGATGTGAATCAGGAGATGTTTCCCAAAACATCCTTCTCCGTGGATAGGAGATATACCCACTTAAAATCAAAATGCCCAAAACACACTTCAATTCCTGGGCTGTGAGACCCAGGTTGACGTTTTTCTGCCAAGCGTAACGATTGCTTTCATTAACAATGAAATTAATTGTTCCTTCATCAAAAAACAATTCAAAGAGGCCTACAGGACTCAGTTCTTGGCTTTTGAGATCCTCCATATGAGGATCTGACGCTGTCCAACTGCTGAAGTCTGGTTGGATATCTCTTTTGGTCCAAACACGCTGAGGTTCCTCTACTGCTTTCCACCTCTTTGTGGCTGGCTGCAGCTGCAGGTCATCATCCTCCTCCCCAGTGCTGGAGTCCTCAGGCACAACGGAGGCATGCAGCACAGTGCCAGGAAGGTGGGCCCCTTGCCGGCCATCTTCATCACCGGAGTCCTCATCAGTGAAGTCACCTGCAGCATTGTCGGGCGGTGCAATGAAGACCTCCTTGCTGCGGCCAGACTCTTCCTCCTCCAGGGCATGCAGAACCTCAAGCAGCTTCGTGGACTTCAGCTTTGAGCCAGCACCTCTCCTGGCAGTGAGGCCGCTGCAATGACAGGAAACAGAATGGGGAGAGGCCATGCAAGAGAGCCAGCACTTCAGCAGAAAACCCCGTTAAAGCACTTCCCAAGAGGAGGGCGCGCCTGCTGCAACAGCATCTTGGACCTGTCCTCACTGGGCACAGTGCCAGGTGAGTGAATTTTTCAGACAAACACAGATTACTTTTTTAAATTCAGAAGTATTTTAATGTTGGGAGGTATTCCAAAGAGGCATTCCATACTTCCTTTCCTTCTTAAATAAAGTATTCCGAATAGAGGATCCCCTCTAGTGATGAATCCAGGTGCCACTGTCATCACCCGGATAACAGTAACTACTGATGACCTAAAACAAATAAATAGCCAGTTATTTTAAGAGCAGAATGGGTTTATTCAGGAATGGCAAAGAACTGCAATTTGGGACATGCAGTCTATGGCAAAATACATGCTGGTCCAGCAAAACAATGGAGAAAAACGTTCTTTTATGAAGTTGGGAGGGGTTGCTGTAAATGAAGAGCCCATTGGAAGAGACTGGGAGTTCAAAGTGTAGTGGCTTTTCACTGGCTGAGTTATGGCAGTCTCCCATTGGCTGAGCTCTTTCTGGGCAAGAAGGAATTCCTTCCTTCCTTCTGCTAGGGTAGTAAGTAGTATCAGGCCCTATCGGAGACTCAAGGTACAGCCTATTCCTGTTGGGGTCCGCAGTGTCTATTGAGTGGCACGTACATAAGAGTTCTCTCTTCTGGCCTCTCGACTCCATTTTAAATGAGGTTTCTGCTTATTAATTGTCATACCACTAATGGAAAGTCTGGGCCGCTCAAGTACACTTACTGATGTCTCCTGACTCAGAGGCCCTAGCAGATGTGCTTTCATTCTTCTGTCTTACCTGTCTCTTCCCTTTCTCTTATTCATTTGGCAAATGTAAGTTTCCTCGTTTCTCAAATTTTCAAACTCTCCCCACTTGAACTCACTACCCAAATTCAGGACCTGAACAAATTCAGACAGATCTTCAGATGGCTCCATCCATATCTGATATCTTATGGCACAACAACTGCATTCAGGAGCCGAGCATATTTGGAAACATGGAAACCCTGCTATTCCAACTTTCCCTGTTCACATGGTAACCAAATGGATGGCAAGAGATACTTGTATTTAATGAGCACCAACCATGAGTAGGGGATGGCCAGGGGCTGGCAGTGGGCACACTCCACTCCTGACCTGCACAGCACTTGTTCTAACTGGAGGAGACAGATGATAGATCAAAAATCAAGTAGCTATGCAGGATGTCATCAGGTAGTGATGAGGGCCATCCTGGATAAGGGACAGAGAATGCAGTGAAGGAGTAGGGCTAGGGGTGCTATTTCAGACTGTAAGTGAAGGCTCACAGGGCAGACAGCCTGAAAGTGAGCCTTGCAGACAGCTGGAGACACTGTGTCCCAAGCAAAGAGAAAAAACTACAGCACAAGGCGCTGAGCCTGAGGGGAACTGATATCTGTGAACAGCAAGGAGGCTGGTAAGGCTGTAGATGCAGTAGGGGGAGGACAGCAGAGCAGAGGTGGCTGGGATCGGGTCCCACAGGGCTCCAAAGGTCCTGACCAGGACTTTTGGTTGTGTTCAGCTATCACAGGAAGTCCTCCAGGGTGATGGAGCAGGGCAGTGAGGGGTCAGATACATCACTCTGACTGTTAGAATGGACTAGACAGGGAAGGTAGGCACTACTGCTACCCTGTTCCCCTTTCTGAGCCTGACCTGTATGTCAGAAGAGCCCCGTCCAGGGAGGACATAGGCTTTACCACAGAAGACTATTTCTCTGTAGACCGGGCCTTAGACTTGGGAGTTCAGGTTGCATTAAAGGTTCACTCCAACCTCTCTTCCCAGACACTGACTCTGCCAGCCCTGTGCTAGAGGCTAAGGTGCAGGAGGTCTGATCTCTGGACAGGTAAGGTATTCCTTAAGCTCTGCATGAGCCAGGAAGAGAGCCCGGTCTTTAAGAGGCAGGAAACCCAAAGCCCTTCCCATGGACCCTGGACTGAGACAGGTTCTCAGAGGACAGCAGCCATCTTCACACCTCCCCCAGCCTCACTAGGTTCATAGCAGCAGATCCAGGCCTGCCACGCCGGGGTCTCGGCTAGCCTCACCACCCAAGCTGCTGCTCACACACCAGGCCTTCAAACACCTTCTGCACGTTGCTGTTCAAACCCATGGCATGAGAAAGCCCGCAGGGACTGAGGCAGCCCCAGTGGCAACCGTCTTGTGTCTTAAAAATGAGGAAAGTAAATCATATTTTTAGATCAAGTATAGACACTGGAGCTACACAGCTGTACCCGTACCACATACACTTCCTTGTCTGCCTCATCTTTTCTCTAATCTTCTCCTTTGTCTTCTCTCTCTTCCTCCTTTTTGCTTCTTAGACACCAAGCGCTTAGTGAGGCCAGCAAGACTAAGGGCTAAAAATGTCATGGGCTTGGCCTTTCAAAAACAGTAATTACCTGCAAAAAGCCTTTCATCAAACAGCATTCCTACCTTGAGGGTGAAGCCATGATGAACTCGGAACATGGGGTCATCTTTACGTGCAGAGTCTAAGAATCTGTTACAACAACAGGAATCAATTTTTAAAAATCATATCTTAATTAGCTAAGCAATAGGATCTTCTCTACCATTTAAGGGGAAAACATCTCCAGCTTAAGGTTCACCACCAACCAGAGGGAAATGAGAAACACAGGAAATGCTATCAAGTTGACTGGCTAGTCAGAGGGAAAAAGAACAAGCTCCTCCATCTCACACTTCACAGCAAAATACATTCTAGGGCAGTTTCCTACCATTAGAACTATTGGCATTTTGAGCCGGATGAGTCTTTGTTGTGTGAGACTGTCCTGTGTACCACGTGATGTTTAACAGCTTCTAGGCCTCTGCCCACTAGATACCAGTAGAACACCCAGCTCCCTAGGTGTGAAAACCAAAAATGTTTCCAGACATTGCAAAGTGCCCACAGGAGGCAAAATCACCCTTGGTTGACAACTACTGTTCAAGATCAGTGCTACCAATAGAAATTACTGTAAATGCTTTGTATCAACGCTATCTAATATCATAGCCATGAGCCACATGTGGTTATTAAGCATTTGATATATGGTTAGTGTGACAGAGAAACTGAATTTTTAAGTAATTTTAATTAATTTGAACTTGAATAGTCACATGTGGCTGGCTGATGGCTACTGTTTTAGAGGATGAAGTCTTAGCTGTTTAAGAACTAATTGTGAAAAACCAAAACTTTTACGGGGCTGGCCCCGTGGCTTAGTGGTTGGGTGGGCACACTCCGCTACTGGCCGCCCGGGTTCGGATCCCGGGCGCGCACAGACGCACCGCTTCTCCAGCCATGCTGAGGCCGCATCCCACATACAGCAACTAGAAGGATGTGCAATTATGACATACAACTATCTACTGGGGCTTTGGGGAAAAAAAAAGGAGGAGCATTGGCAATAGATGTTGGCTCAGAGCCGGTCTTTCTCAGCAAAAGAGGAGGATTAGCACGGATGTTAGCTCAGGGTTGATCTTCCTCACAAAAAAAAAAAAAAAAAAACCAAAACCAAAACTTTTAAACTTTTAAACTTTTAAATTATATTAAGGAAGACAGAATAGGGAAATCTTTTTTGTAGAAAACACTAAGACTTAAAGGAAGATGAATAAATTTAACCACATCAAACTTGCAACAACTCTATAGTACGCACCCTCTACAACAGCCCCCAAAGATCCCTACCTCCTGGTATTCATGCCCTTGTGTAATCTTCTCCCCTTGAGTGGGTTGGACCTTGTGACTTACTTCTAACAAACGAAATATGGTGAAAGTGATGAGATGTCTCTTCTGAGTTTAGGCTGCAAATAGACTGAGACTTCCATCTTGTGCATGCCATCTCTCTCATTCTCTCATTCACTGACTCCAAAGAAAGCCAGCTACAATATTCTGAGCTATCCAACAGAAAGGCCCATGAGGCAAGGAACTCAGGGAGTTCCATGGCCAACAGCCAGAGGGAACTGAGCCCTCAGTCCAACAACCCACAATGAACTGAATCATGAGGAACAACCCCCCCCCAGTCAAGCCTTCAGATGAGACCACAGCCCCTGCTGACAGTTTGACTGCAACATCATAAGAGACACTAAGTCACTGGAACGCAGCTAAGTCACACTTGGATTCCTAACTGGCAGAAAACTGAAACATAATCAATGTTTGTTGTTTTAAGAATTTAAGTTGTGGGGTCATTTGTGATGCAGCAGTAGATAACTAATATAACATCTATACAACAAAGCACCAAAAATCAAGTCAAAGCCATAGCTGTCAGAAGATATTCACAATGCATATAACCAGCAACAAACCAATATCCACAATATATAAAGAATTCCCACAAAACAATGAGAAAAAACTAAATAACCCTAATAGGCAAGCTACTTCATTACCTAGCTTTTACCCTGAGGAGTTCTCACGAACCCTGGTGACACTGAGCTTCTATTCTGAGGATTACATGGAATCTAGAGTCTAAGAGGAGACTAGAACCAGACCTACAAAAAGGGCTAATGGAACAGGGCTGCATAAAGACCCTGCCAAATTGCTGCACTCAAGCTATAAAGATAAATGATAAATAATCCCAGTGGAGGGGGCCAGCCCCATGGCCCAGTGGTTAAGTTTGGCACGCTCCATTTTGGCGGCCCAGGTTCAGTTTCCAGGCGCAGACCTACACCACTTGGTGGCGGCCACACTGTGGGGACCCACATACAAAATAGAGAAAGACCGGCACAGATGTTAGCTCAGGGCAAATCTTCCTCAAACAAAAAGAGGAAGATTGGCAACAGAAGTTAGCTTGGTGTGAATCGTCCTCAGCAAAAAAAAGAAAAAAAAAAGATAATCCCATTGTGCAAAAGTGGTCAGAAAGTAAACATGCTGAGCTTACACTGCACAGAAGCAGGGTGGGGTGGGGAGAGATCTAAGAATTTGTAACCATGAAAGTTTATGAGGTCAATTCACATTTCTTAGTAGTCCCAATAACCTCAAGTGAAAATTTTAACTGAAAATGATCAGTAGTAATGCTCTCTAGGGGAAGAGTAGAGACAGACCAACCTCTCAGGAGGAATGTATCCCAAACAAAACTTCAAAGAGCTCCACTGACAACAGTTCCAAAGAGTATGAACTGACAATCTTGGAAAAAAGAAAAAAAAAAATCACAAAACAAACAAGGGAACAAAGCACCATGAATGGTAGCCAGCAGAAACAACAGATGGCAGAATCAGACTCCCAGACTCTAGATACTATAAATACCAGAAATACAAAATAAGTATGTTTAATAAGCTACAAGAAACATACAGTCAAGAAACAATAAACTTAAAATGAAATAAAAAGGTCTACTAGAGTTAAAAAGAACCAAATAATTTTTAAAAGGAAAAAAGCCAAAAACAAATAAAAAGAAAATAAACCAAAAAAACAAAAATGAAAATAAACAAAAAAGACCACCCAAAAAAAAGGAAAATAAAAAATACCAAATAACCAACAAATACCAAAATACCAAATAACCAAACAAAGAAAAACGAAAATCAAAATAAAAAGAGAGAACCAAATAAAAACAAAAACAAAATGGAAATTTAAAAATACATAATAGCATATTAAAAACTCAAAAACAAGAGTGACATCAGCAAAACAAAGCACTAGAAAGCTCCAAGCTCTCCCACCCACAGCAACACTGAAAAAACAACCAGAAGCTGTCTGAACCAACCTTATAGGAGATCTGAAAACAGTCAAAGGTTTAGGGCAACCAGCAAATGCTCAATCAATAAAAAGCCATCTTGGCACTGCCCAGGCAGGAAAACCTCTTTGTAGCCCAGTCACTGCTGAATACAGTCTTCAGCCTACATGACCAGGAAATCTAACCAAAACAAGGTGTACTGACAGTTGCACCAGAGCAGAGAGCACAACTCTGTCTGCATAGCAAAACTGGTGGCCCCATCTGGCCAAGTAATTCAATGCACAGTCCTACCTAATTTGGGTCCCCAAACAATAAGCTATGCTGGCCTTGGGGCCCATTCTGCTGCCTCACTCAAGTAGGAAAGCTAACTCATACCCCTGCTTATTGTCAAGTACAGCACACAGTCCCAACTATCTAGGAAGCCTGACTGGAGAACCCAGGCAACCATGGAGCCCAACGTACAGCCTCACTTGTACAGAGAACCAAGCCAGCAGTCCTATCCAACTGTTCTCAGCCAGCAGCATTCCCCATTCCCTGACCTCAGAGCTCAGTCAGTGGCCTCACCCAAAAAGAGACACAGATAGCCAGCCCCACCTGCCCAAAGATGCTACCAGCTATCGTGTCCAAAACCCCAAGATGACCTAAGTGGAAAGGACTGACTCTGTCAAAGCAAACCTGTAAAGTCTGGAAGAGGAGACCGCTTACTCAAATGCATAGATATCAACTTAAGGAAACAAGGATGACAAAGAATCAGATAAACATGATACCACCAAAGAAAACTAATAAAGCTACAATAACTGACCCTAAACAAATGTAAATCTATGAAATGTCAGACAAAGAATTCAGAGTAATCCTCTTAAAGAAGTTTAATGAACTACAAGAACATACAGACACCTAAACAAAATTAGGAAAACAATGCATGAATAAAATTAGAAGTTTGACAAAGAAATAGAAACCATCAAAAAAAAAAAAAAAACTGAAATCCTAGAGCTAAAGAATACAAAAACTGAACTGAAGAATTCAACAGAAAGCTTCAACAGCAGCCTCAACGATGAAGAAGAAAGAAGCAATTTACCGAGAAGACAGGCATTATCCAATCAGAGGAGCAACAAGAACAAAGAATGAAACAGAGTGAAGAAAGTCTACAGGATTTATAGGACACCATCAAAAGAAATAATATGCAAATTATGGGAATCATAAAAGAAGACGAGCAACAGAAAGAGATAGAAAGTATATTTAAAGCAATAAAGGCTGAAAATTTCCCAAACCTACAGAGAGAAATAGATATCCAGATCTAAGAAGCCCAAAGGACCTCAAATAACTTGAACCCGAATAGGACTATACAAAGACACATTATAATTTCATTAGCGAAAGTCAAAAGCAAAGAGAATTTTGAAAGCAACAAGAGAAAAGAGAGAAGTTGCATATAAGGGAACCCTCATAAGACTAAAGGCAGATTACTCAACAGAAACTTCTCAGGCCAGGAGAGAATGGGACATATTGAAAATATTCAAAGAAAACACTGTCAATCAAAAATACTATACCCAGCAAAGCTGTCCTTCAGAAATGAAGGAGATATAAAGACTTTATCAAACAAGCAAAAGCTGAGGGGGTTCATCACCACTAGATCTGCTTGCCAAGAAATGCTAAAGGGAATTCTTCAAATAGAAGTACAAGGATGCTAATTAACATCACAAAGACATATGAAGATAATGTAAAACTCACTATAATGATAAATATATAGTCAAAGTCAGATTCTCTGATATGTCAATTGTGGTACTGAATTCACTTACAACTCCAGTTTAAGAGTTAAAAAAAAAATTATTGGGGGCTGGCCCCATGGCCTACTGGTTAAGTTTGGCGTGCTCCACTTCAGCGGCCTGGGTTCAGTTCCCGGGCACGGACCCACACGACTTGTCGGTGGCCATGCTGTGGTGGCAACCCACATACAACGTAGAGAAAGACTGGTACAGACGTTAGCTCAGGGAAAATATTCCTCAGCAAAGTAAAAAGCATTAAAATAACCATAACTACAATAATCTGTTATTGGATACACATATAAAAAATAAGTAAAGTGTAACACCAATAACCTAAAATGTGAAGGGGAGGAAAAATAAAAATGTAAAGTTTAGGAATGCTATCAAACAAATTCTTAACAGTTTAAAATAGAGAGTTATAATTTTAAGTTATTTTATACATGCCTCATGGTAACAACAAAGAAAAACCTGTAGTAGTTACACAAAAGAGCATGATAAAGGAGTCAAAGCTTAAGAATACAAAAAGTCATCAAATCACAAAAGAAGACAGCAGGATAAGAAGAAAGGAACAAGGGATATACAAAACAGTCTGAAAACAATTAATAAAATGGAAACAGTTGGTCCTTCCCCATCAATAAGTACTTTAAATGTAAATGGATTAAATTCTCTAATCAAAAGACACAGAATGTCTGAATGGATAAAAATGCTGCCTACTCACTTGACCTTTAAAGACACACGTAGACTGACAGTAAAAAGATGGAAAAAGATATTTCAAACAAATAGTAACCAAAAAGAAAAACCAGGGGTAGCTATACTTAGACAAACAGCCTTTAAACTAAAAATGGTAAAAAGAGAAAAAAAGGTCACTATGCAATAATAAAGAGGTCAATCCATCAAAAGATGTAACAACTGTAAATATTTTTGCACCCAACATAGGAACACCTAAACATAAGAAGCAAATAATAACTGAACAAAAATGAGAAATAAACAGCAATACAATAATAGAAACTTTAACACCCTACTCTCAACAATAGACAGATCATCCAGACAGATAATCAATAAGGAAACAGTGGATCTTAACACTATAGATTGAAGGGACCTAACAGATAGATAATGAACATTCTATTTGACAACAGCATAATATACATTCTTCTCAAGCATATATGCAACATTTTCTAAGATAGATAATATGTTAGGCCACAAAACAAGTCTTACCAAATTCAAAAGGACTAAAATCAGACCAAGTGTCTTTTCTGGCCACAACAGTATGAAAGAGAACTCAATGACAGGAGGAAAACTCATGAATATATGGAAATTAAACAACACTCTCATGAACAGCCAATGGATCAAAGAAGAAATGAAGGAGGAAATAAAAAACTATCTTGAGAGAAATAAAAATAGAAACAACATACCAAAACATACGGGATACAGCAAAAGCAGTTCTAAGAAATTTATAGCTATAAACACATAAAGAAAATAGAAAGATCTCAAATTTAAAAAACTAACTTTACACCTCAGGGAACTAGAAAAAGAAGAATAAACCAAGTCCAAACTTAGCAGAAGAAAAGAAAAAAAAGATTAGAGCAAAAATAAATAGAGAACAGAAAACCAATAAAAAAGATCAAACTAAGAACTGGTTCTTTGAAAAGATGAACAAAATTGACAAACCTCTAGCTAGACTAGCCAAGAAAAAAAGAGGACCCAAATCAACAAAATTACAAATGAGAGAGGAGACATTATAACTGATACTACAAAAACACAAAGGGACACAGAGGCTACTATGAGCAATTATATGGCACCAAACTGGACAACCTAGGAGAAATGGATAAACTCTCAGAACATACATAACCTACCAAGACTGAATCAGGAGAAACAGAAAATTTGAACAGTCCAATTACAAGTAAGGTGATGGAATCAGTAATCAAAAATCTCCCAATAAAAAAAAAAAAAAAGTCCAGAACCAGATGGATTCTCTAGTGAATTTACCAAACATTTAAAGAAGAATTAAATGTCAATCCTTCTCAAACTCTTCCAAAAAATCAAAGAGAAAAGAACATCCTCGAACTCATTTTACAAGATCAGCATTACCCTGATACCAAAGCCAAATAAGCATATCACAAGAAAACTACACACCAATATCCCTGATGAATATAGATGCAAAAATTCTCAACAAAAACTAGCACACCAAATTTGGCAGCACATTAAAAGGACCATACACCATGATCAAGTGGGATTCATCCCTGGGCTACAAGGATGGGTCAACATATGTAAATCAATAAAAGTTATAAATCACATTAATAGAGTGAAAGATAAAAATCATATGATCATCTCAAAAGATGCAGAAAAAGTATTTGACAAAATTCAACATCCTTCATGATAAAAATTATCAACAAATTAGGTATTGAAGAAACATACCTCAACATAATAAAGGCCATATATGACAACTCACAGCTAACATCATTCTCAATGGTGAAGGCTGAAAGTTTTTCCTCTAAGATCAGGAGGAAGACAAGGATACCCACTTGTAACACTCCTATTCAATACAGTATTGGAAGTCCCAGTTAGAGCAAGAGGTCAAGAAAAAGAAACAAAAGGCATCAGAATTTGAAAGAAAGAAGTAAAATTGTCTCTACTTGCAGATGACATGATTTTAAATATAGAAAACCCTAAAGAGACAAAAAACTGTTAGCACTAATTAATGAGTTCACTAAAGGTGCAGGATACAAAATCAACATAAAAAAATCAGTAATGTTTCTATACACTAACAACAAATTATCTGAAAAAGAAATAATGACAATTTTCCGATTTGCAATAGCATCAAACAATAAAATACTTAGGAATAATTTAACCAAAAAAGTGAAAGATCTCTATATTGAAAACTACAAGACATTGATGAAAGAAACTGGAGAAGACTAAAGTAAACTGAAAGATATCCCATGTTCATGGCTTCGAACAACTAATATCATTACAATATCCAAGCTACCCAAAGCCATCTATAGATTCAATGCAATCTCTATCAAGATTCCAATGGCATTATTTATAGAAGTAATAAAAACCATCCTAAAATTCATATGGGGCCACAAAAGACCCTGAATAGCCAAAGCAATCATGAGAAAGAAGAACAAAGCTGGAGGCATCAAAATTATTTGATTTCAAACTACATTATAAAGTTATACTAATCAAAACAGTATGGTACTCGCACATAGACCACTGGAACAAAATCAAAAGACCAGAAAAAAATCCATGCATATACAATCAACAAATATTTGACAAGTGAGCCAAGAACACTCAATGGAGAAAAGAGAATCTCTTCAACAAATGGTGCTGAGAAAATTGGATATTCACATGTAAAAGAATGAAACTAGACCTCTTTCTTACACCACTCAAAAAACTTAACTCAATAATTCAAAAGGGATTAAAGACTTAAATGTAAGACCAGAAATCATAAAACTAGAAGAAAACATATAGGAAAAGCTCCTTGACATTTATTATTATATGCCAATAATTATCTTGGCAATTATTTTTGGATAAGACATTTAAAACACAAGCAACAAAAGCAAATATCAACAAGGGGAACTACATCAAACTAAAATGCTTCTGCACAATAAAAGAAACAATCAAAAAAATGAAAATGCATACTACAGAATGGAAGAAAATAGTTGCAAACCATATAGTGGATAAGAGGTTAATATCCAAAATATATAAAGAACTCATACAACTCAACAACAAAAGAACAAACAAGCCACTTTAAAAATGGGCAAAGGACCTGAATAGACATTTTTCCAAAGAAGATATTCAAATGGCCAACAGGGGCATGAAAGCATGCTCAACATCATTAATCATCAAGGAAATGCAAATCAAAACCACGATGAGATTTTACCTCACACCTATTAGAATGGGTATCATCAAGAAAACAAGAGATAACAAATGATGGCAAGGATGTGGAGAAAAGGGAATTCTGGTGCACTGTTAGTGGAACTATAAACTGGTACAGCCACTACAAAAAACAGTATGGAGGTTCCTCAAAAAATTAAAGATAGAACTATCATACGATCCACCTATTCCCCCTGGGAATAGATCTAAAGGAAAGAAAAACACTGTCAAGGAGATATCTGCACTCCCATGTTAATAGCAGCATTATTTACAATAGCCATGACACGGAAACAATCTAAGTTTCCATTGACAAATAAATGGATAAAGAAAGTGTGGTAATAGGGGCCAGCCCCATGGCCTAGTGGTTAAGTTCTGCACGCTCTGCTTCAGTGGCCCAGGTTCGGTTCCCAGGTGTGGACCTATACCACTCATCCATGGCCATGCTGCGGCAGTGACCCACATACAAAATACAGAAAGACTGGCACAGATGTTAGCTCGGGGAAAATCTTCCTCAAGCAAAAAGAGAAAGATTGGCAACAGATGTTAGCTCAGGGCAACTCTTCCTCAGCAAAAAAGAAGTGTGGTCTATATATAACTGAATGTTATTCAGCCATAAACAAGAAGGAAATCCTGCCATTTGCCAACATGCATGGACCTTGAGTGCGTTCTGCTAAGTGAAATAGTTAGACAGAGAAAGACAAAAAGTGTAGGATCTCACTTATATGTGGAATCTAAAAAAAACAAAACAAAACAAAACCCAAACATAGAAAAAGAGATCAGAGTTGTGGTTACCAGAGACAGGGGGTGGAGGGAGGGGAAATTAGATGAAGGTGGCCAAAAGGTTCAAATGCCCACTTATAAGATAAGTACTGGGGAAGTAATGCACAACATGATGACTATAGTTAACACTGCTATATGGTATATTTGAAAGTTGCTAGAGAGTAAATCCTAAAAGTTCTCAGTCCGAGGGAGAAAAGCGTTTTTCCTTGTAACTATATTGGGAGATGGATGTTAACTAAACTTACTATAGCAATCAATCCACAATATATGTACTTCAAGTCATTCTGTGGTACTTTAAACTTACACAGAGCAGTATATCAGTTCCATCTCAATAAAACTGAAAATAAATAAAAAGCCATCTTCAAAACAATATGAAAGTTTTATAGAGTTCTTACTCACTCTTGACCTACCCCTTCCCCAGCACTACAGCAATCTTAGTCTTGAGTAGGTGGAAGCCAAGTTCCCAGTTCTCTCCTCAAACCAGAGGGAGCAGAGCAAACCTTATTTGCAAATTATTGTGTATTTCTGTTCTAAGCTGCCCTGAGGATACCTGAAAGACTGATAACACACGTGTCCCTGTTTCGCATAACTGGGAACAGACATGGGAAAAGCGCCAGGTACTACTAGTAAAAGGCATGAGGTATAATATAAATCCACAGGTATCTGGAGCAAGAGATTACAGGTGGAGACTTATAATAGACCATCTAGGGCCCAAAGGAGAAGCTCAGATGAGACTATTTGGGAATATAGGACATTCCAAAGCAGCCATGTAGATGGGAGAATTTAATAAACCACACGCAAGCCCAGGAAAGACACATGCTCTGAAAATTCCTGAGAAGACCTTGAACTTTCACCTTGGGCTAATCACAAGATTAGGTGGTGTAGCGGTTAATTCACATGCTCCGCTTCAGCAGCCCGGGGTTCGCAGGTTCAGATCCCAGGCGCGGACCGATGCACCACTTGTCAAGCCATGCTGTGGCGGCATCCCATATAAAGTGGAGAAGGATGGGCATGGATGTTGGCCCAGGGCCAGTCTTCCTCAGCAAAAAAGAAGAGGATTGGCAACAGATGTTAGCTCAGGGCTGATCTTCCTCACAAAAAGAAAACGAGTATCCTAAAGCAACATTACCTCAATAAGAAAACAATAAACCAAAATCAAAAAAACAATCCTAGCTAAGTGATGAAGGAGTGCCCCAACAAAGAGCAAATATGCAAAGACGGGGAGAAGTAGCTGTTCTTTTTTGTTTTTTTCAGTGTTTTGTTTCAGCTCCTGGCATTCAAGGGAATCTCTGTCAAGAAATTAGCTGAACATGAACTATAGCAAGACTCCTCAGTGATCACACATGACAAGATATAGTCTTGGTAAAAAATAGTCTGGAAAAGTCTGAAAACAAAGGGACTACTAGAGCCTTCAACCATAAAAAAAAAAGCAAACCCTGGGAGAGGGGAAAAAAATCTGATTTCCAGAGTTACCACATTATAATAGAAAAATGCATAATTTTCAACAAAAACAAACAAAACAAGAAAGTATGGCTCATTCGAAGGAACAAAATAGACAGAACCAACTCTGAGGAAGCCTAGACATCATACATACCAGACAAAGACTTTAAAATAACTGTCTTAAATATGCTCAGAGAGTTAATGGAAAACATAGACAAAAAACGAAAGGAAACAGGCAAACAATATATGAACAAATCTGAAATGAAAAATTCATAAAAAAGTTCAATAGCAGAGTTGAGCAAGTAGAAAAAAGAACTGAACACAGGACTATTAAAATTATCAACTCTTACAAACAGAAATAAAATATATGAAGAAAAGTGAACAGAGCCTAAGAACCTTGTGGGACACCAGCAGGTGTACCAACATACACATTTTGGGAATCAGAAGGAAAAGAGAAAGGAGCACAGAGATTATTTGAAAAAGTAATAGCCAAAAATTTTCCAAATTTGAGGGAAGACATGTATCTACAAATCCAAGAAACTCAATGAACTTGAAGTAGGAGAATCTCAAAGACATCCACTCTAAGACACATTGTAATCAAACTGCCAAAAGCCCAAGCAAGAATCTTGAAAGCAGGAAGAGAGAAGTAACTCATAAATACAAGCGATCTGCAATAAGGTCTTCAGCCAATTTCTTATCAGAAAGCTTGAAGGCCAGAAGAAAGTGATCTGCTCTATTTGAAGTGCTGAAAGAAAAAAACTGTCAACCAAGATTTCTATATTTAGCAATACAGTCCTTCAAAAATCAGAGAGAAATTTAGACATTCCCAGACAAATAAAAGTTGAGGGAATTCACTACCACTAGACCTGCAATACCAAATATGCTAAAGAGAGTCCTTCAGGTTGAAATGAAGGGATACAAAACAGTAACGCAAAGCCATACTCAAGAAAATATAAAGTTCACCAGTAAAGTAAATACACAGACTAATATAAAAAAAGTATTACTGTCGTTTTGTTTGTAACTCCACGTTTTATTTCTATAAGATTTAAAAGATAAAAGCAGAAAAAGATGATAAATTAAAGATCTAATTTGTGGCATCAGTAACATAAGGAGGACAAAAATTTGTAAGGGAAGTGTTTATGTATGCAAATGAAGTAAAGTTGGTATAAGCTAAAATTAGATAGTTACAACACTAGGATATTCTATGTAATACATAGTAACCACAAAAAAGATCTAAAGAATATGCATAAAGGAAATCAAAAGATGTCACTACAAAAAATTAACTAAACACAAATGTAGGCAGTAACGGAGAAAATGGGAGACAAAAAAGCTATAAGATATACAGAAAACAAACAGTAAAATGGAAAAAGTAAGTCTTTCCTTATCAGTAATTATTTTAAATGTAAATGATTAAACTATCCAATCAAAAGGCACATATGGGGGAAGTGATGTCAGCCAATGGTGGACTAGGTAGTTCCAGGCCCTGATTCCCCACAGAAATGCAAGTTAACAACAATATATGGACCAGAATACTTTTGTGAGAACTCTAGAGACAGCCTGTGACGGTGTAGTACCAGGCCAACAGAAAACCAAGATGGGACTCCATAGAAAAGGGTAGGAAAGTTCATGGCATTTTGCACACACATGCATCTCCCCCTACTCAGTGTAGGTAGGTGCAACTGGGGTAAATCTCCCATATGGGAGCTCCTCCCTTGGGATGGAAAACAAAAATGGATCGTGTGTCCAACATTCTGACTTGTCTAGGGGCTGCCTGAGGGACAGATTTCTGTCTCACCAGACTTGGAGCACTGATGGAAAAGGTGGCACAGTTTGGAAACCACTGAAAATGTAGCGGCTACAGCACACTAGAGCTGCAGAGATTCTGCAGTTCTACAGGCAGATGCCAGAGAGAGCAAGAGATCTCAAGCTCCTGAGAAGAAATGGGCAAGCAGCTTACAGAAACTGAGACAGTTAAAAGTACACACAAATACAGAGAAGACATCACCAGAAAATGTTGGAAACGTCCCAAACCTCTACATGGACTGACTGGTGAAGGTATTCCCCTGAACCAAGCAAGCCCATAAAGACTGGGAGAGGAGGTCACTTTTTCAAATGGTCAAATCTCAACAACAGATTACAAAGCATAGAATGAAACAGGAAAACACGGCCCAATCAAAGAAACAAAATAAAACTCCAGGAATGGATCCTAAAGAAC